TAACTGACTAGAAGGTAAACATATTTCTTTGCTACAGAAAAACTAGAACACTTGCAGTAGGGACATTTGAGTAAATCAAGATGAGAAATGAATGAATGAATCAACAACAAAACCTTTGAAATATAGTACATACTTTGTGCCAGGAATTGTGCTAAATGATTTACACATACTATCCATTTGATCTCTGTGACAACTGCAGGAGGTGGGTGCTATTATTGCTCTTCAGTTTGCAGGTGAAGAAACTGAGGCAAAAAGAGGTTAATGACTAGTTTAGCTAGTAAGCATGTGAGGCTAGATTTGAACTGAGACCTTTCAACTACAGGCCAAGTGTTCTATCCATTGTTCCATGTAGCTGTTTTGGTGATTAGACAGCAGTTTATCTGAAAAAAAAACAATTTGGGAAATCTTATTAGACTTCAGGCTTGACATAAATCAGCAGCACAATATGGCAGCCCATGGAGGTCAGAAATGGCTTCCTATAAGGTAGAATTTGAGCTTGGTATTAAAAAAGACCAAAGAAACTAGGAGGAAAGAAAGCATTAAAGCTGTGGGGGGAGGGAAAGGGGAAGGAGAGAGCCAGTGTGAAGGTTCAGAAATGGAAAATGGAGTCCCATGTGGGAGGAACTGGAGTATAGAGTGTGTGGAAGGAAATGAGATAGAGGAAAACTTGTACATATCATGTGCCAAGCACTGGGTTAAGTGCTGGGAGATGCAAAGACAAACATAAATTTAGTCAATGTGCTCTAGGGGTTTATATTTAAATGGGGTGGGGAAGAGACAACACATACATTTACATATATATATGAATAGACAGATATACATACATACCATATATATATTTATATAGACATATACATACATAGCACACACACACACACACACACTCATACACACACACACACACACACACACACACACACACACACACACCCCAGATGTAAAGTGAGGACGTTAGCAGCTATGGAGATCAGGTAAGGTCTGATTCTACAAGGTGGCACTTGAGCTGAGCTGAGAATTCTAGGAGACTGAGGCAAGGCTGGGGTACAATACCAGGGAGGAGTGCCATGTATGAGGAACAGCAAAAAGCCCCGTTCACCATAGTGTGCTTGGAAGGGAATAATCTGCAGTAAGGTTGAAAAGGTAGGTTGGGGCCAGGTTGCGAAGGCCTTTAAAAACCTAGCAGAGGAGTTTATGTGTATTTGATTCTGAAAGTAATATTGAACCAGAGTTTGTTGAGTAGGAGAATGATATGTTCAGCTTATCACTTTAGGAAAATCACTTTGGTTGTTGTCTTTTGTGCTTGAAAAGGACCAGAGTGATAGCACTATGTCAGGGTGAAGGTACAGTGTGTCTGACTGTGGCTGGTCAGTCCAATCACTCTCTGCCTGTGTGGAGAATGAATTGGAAAGAGAAGACTGGAAACAGGAATATTGTAAAATTCCAGGTAAAACAGTGATGGAGGCATGCACTAGTATACACGGATGAAGAGAAGGGAACACCTGTGAAAGCTGATATGGGGCAGCTAGGTGGCACAGTGGATAATGCTCTATCCTCTTTCTAACTGGAGTTAGAAAGACATGAGTTCAATTCTGGCCTGAGACACTTAACACTTACTAGCTGTGTGACCCTGGGCAGGTCACTAAATCCTGATTGCCTCACAAAAAACACCAAAAGAATGAAAGAAAGCTGATGTAAAGTAGGAAGTGATTACACAAGTAATTAGATGTGAGGTTCAGGGAAGAGTTAGGAATGAAGGAACCCACTGAGGTTGTGAACCTGAGTGCCTGAAATGGTGATGGTTCCCTCAACAGAAATAGGGAAGGACAGAAGAAGGAGAGGTGTGGGTGAGGAAGACAGTGAATTCAATGTTGGAAGTAATGAGTTTGAGATGTCTGCAGTAGCACTGAGGGTGGTGTTTATGCTAGTATTTTAGTTTCATTTCATGATCTGGAGTGGAAAGAATCCAGGAATTTGGTCAGGATTCCTGAGTCCTAGGTTAGTCTGAGACTTAACCATTCCTGACTTTAGGTGAGTCACTTAATCTTGTTCAGATTCTTCATGTATAAAATGAAAGGAGAGGACTGGACAATATCTAAGATCCTTTGACCACAACACCTTATGACTTGTGAAATCAGATTCAGAACAATGGCAAAAGATTAAAATTTCCCAAGTAGCATTTTGCCAAGCCCTTTCTTCAGCTCTTCACCTGCATTGAAGGGGAGTTTCTTTTCTTTCTTTCTTTTTTTCTTTTGAGGGGATTCTGAGGCAGAGCATTAGCTACTTCAGCAGCAGAGTTAGTTGTGTTATGAGATCAAGAGTTATGTGTTAGTGAATGCAATTTGTGAGATTGGCATCAGTGAAAGAGAGAGTATAAGCATTTTGATGGGGATCTAAACTTTGCAATATATACTGTGAGGCCTCATGGCATTAGCTTCTATTTTCTCAGAAAGGTATTTAATGAAAGCAGCATGAATTAAGTCCATTGCAAGCAACATCAGTCACTTTCTTCTTCCAGGGTTCCATTATGAAGGATTTTGAAGCAGAGGATGAAGAATTTGATATCCTGATAAAGGTCCTATGGAAATAAGATTATAGGCAAAAATATAGTTCCCAGGATAAGGGTAGTGAGGTGAAATCCTTATTGTATCTCTGGAATCAGAGGGTGATATCTGAAGGTAGGAAGGTGTAATGTATTCAGGGAAAGGACATGACATGTTGAGATGTAGTATGTATGTATCATGTGTGTATGATAAAGGTATCAAAGGCTCAAATTAAGTACAACTCTTTTGACTCAACAATCATTTCTCAATAAATAGCGATCCCACATAGCATCTTTCCTTAGGGAAAAAAAGAAAGCTAGGAAAAGCCATTTGATATAGGGATTGCTACTGAGCTTATGTATCTTTCTGTTCTTATTAAGTATGCCTCTTGTTCGGTCATTTCAGTCAAGTCCGACACTCTGTGATCTCATTTGGGTTTTCTTGGCAAAGATATTGGAGTGCTTTACTATTTCCTTCTTCAGATCATTTTATAGATGAGGAACTTAGGCAAACAGGATTAAGTGACTCGCCCACTGTGAAAAATCGTACATGCCTGAGGCTGGATCTGAAGTCATGAAGATGACTCTTCTTGACTCCAGGCCCAGAACACTATCTACTGAGCCACCTAGTAATCCACAAAAAGACAAGAAACAGAGACTCTCACTCTTTCATCCCTGAGTGAAGTAGGGAGACTATAATTTCAGTCTAGCCAGAAAAAAAAATAATCCTTTAGGCTCCTTGGGTGAAACGATGCACAGGTACAAAGTAACTTACTCTACAACCATTTGGTGTCCCAATATACACACACACACACACACACACACACACACACACACACACATAAATATACATATACATATATACACACATATACATATATATACATATACATACACACATATATATGTATACATATATAATATATATATTATTTATATATACATATATACGTGTGTGTGTGTGTGTGTGTGTGTGCGTGTGTGTATGTGTGTTGAGTGGCAGGAATTGGGCAGTAGAAGGGAACTGTCAGACATTGCTCATAATTAGCCATATGTACTCTCCTACTCTAGAATATTTCACCAGGAATAATATAGGAATAACTGAGAACAGCAATACCCCACCACATTGGAATCTGGGAGTTTTGCCACTCTTTTGTGTAGATATTGTCTCCCTCATTATAATGTAATGCCCTCTTTGAGGGCAGGAGCTGTTTCACTTTTGGCTGTGTACCCCTGGTGCTTAACACAGAGCCTGGTAAGAGCTTAATGACTGCTGGTGGCTTGGCTGATTGTTACTCTCTTCTCCCTCACCTCTATCATGCTGTTCTCTACTGGTTCTTCTTCATGCCTGATTTTTGCTTCTCAATATTCTTTTACTGGGTCACTATCCACCTTCAGTCTCCTCAGTGTGAATATCTCCAAGACTCTATCTTTGGGCCTTTTTAATATAACCACGACTTTGGCCACTATCTCTCCTCTGACCCTGATGGAGACAGCCCAGGCCCTTGAGTCTAAGACCTTGGGAATAGCAGTGTCCTCCTCACCTCCAAATCCCTTCTAGGCCAATCTCTCCAGTTCTCATTAAGAGGATAAATCACTGTGTAGAACCACTGATGGCCAGCTACCACCAACCGGTAGATAAGTACAAGGGACAAAAGGGTGGCAGCAATCTCTGGACCCTTGGTCCTAGTCTAGTGCTCACAGCTCTTATCTGGGGAAGCAAATCCTATGGAGAAGGGGCCGGCCATCATGACCAGTTGCTTGCCAATTACTAGCTAATTGTTATTCATAAGGCAGATGAGAAGCCTGCCTAAAGCAGTGGGGCATCCTGAGGGAGAGAGAAGAGGCAATATATGCCAGTCAAGGCAACCTACCATCCCCACCTTGACATCATCTCTCCTTTGACAACCCAGAACCCTGAACCTAAGAGCATTTGGAATAGCAAGACTTCCAGCCCAGTGTTGGCAAACTTCATCCTGGGATAAGTGATTGAAATAAAATAAAATAAAATAAAATAAAATAAAATAAAATTTAAAAATAGACGTAAAGAAGTCTGAAAGCAAAAGCTGGTTCAGATGAGGCGATGAATAGGGATTTAGAAATGGGAGATGATGTCGTTCGGTAGGAAGAGCACAATATCTGGTACCAGGAGAGAATTAGCTTTGAATTCCACTTCTTGATCCTTTGTAGTTATGGCATAAATCAACTAATTTTCTTGAGCTTCAGCAACTTTGTCTGTAAAATGGGAATTATCCTATTTGCACTTAGGATTCTTATGTGGATGAAATCAGATGCTTCATAACAGGTGGTTTATTTTCAACCTCACTGTGCCACATAAATATCAGCTAGAATGTTGGCTAGAGGGGAAAGCAGGAAAGTCAGGTCCTACCTAAAGGCAGGCAAGCCTTCCTTTTGATCACATCAGCAATGTTAAAGTCTTTCTCTCTTTCTCCTGTTAGAATTACCATGTGACCCCACATTCTTTTTGGATATGCTCCTGCAATGTGATCTGCTCTATCATTTTCCAGAAATGTTTTGAATACAAAGACCAGAAATTTCCATATTTAATGAAGCTTTTAGGAGAAAATTTAAAGATTGTAAGTTCCCCATGGATGCAGGTAAGGCCACTGTTGTCTCATTTTGGAGTTCAAAATTTTTTTTCCCTTTATTTCTAAGAAAGTACTGCAAGGAGCTAGAGTTCATTATGTATTCCATTGGAAGGCACAACAGTGCCATGCTGGTTTGGGTTCATATTTTCTTCTTCATTGACAGTGACTAAAGACAGAGAACATCACCCCTATGTGTTCTGATTTGAGGGACAATACAAGGCCTCTTCTTCCAGTAGTTCACCCACTGATCACAGGGACTAAATGTCAAAATTCATGTTATTACAGAGAAACTGACTTTTCCCTTGAGCACCTAAGCTTGGATCAGGTTAGCAAATGTGTTAGCTGTCCCAGTGGAAGATTTCAGGCAGAACTCTTAGAAGACCTCATAATGAGAAAGGATGAGAACTTTTCTGTCAGAAGTAAGGATTCAGCGTGAAGGCCAAGGTAGTCTCAGTCAACCAAGAAGCAGAATACTAAAGTTTTTTAGGAGGTTTGTATAGGAAATGGTGAGAAAAGTTACTATTTTGCAAAGGGCATTTTTCCCACCCTTACTGAGCCCTCTTCTCAACATGATCCAAGTGCTGGAGTAGAGAAGTATTGTCTTTCTCCAATAAAGTATGATATAAAATTCTTCTTCTTAGGTCTACAATTCTTTTCCATCTCTAATACATTATCTCCCTGGATCTCATCATAAAGCAATTAAAAATTTCTATTTACTACATGAATTTGTTTTGGAAGAAGTGAAGGAGCACTGAAGGACAATGGACCCCAGCAATCCTTGGGACTTCATTGACTGTTTCCTGATGAAAATGGAGCAGGTAGAGTGTGAGCAGTAGGTCTTAATCTCAGTTCTTGTAGGTGAAATGGCTTGTGTATTAGACGCTGACACTCATATTCAGAAACATAGAGCAGTAAGTAATCATATATTAATCACAGTGTGATCAGGGCACTAAATGGGGCAGACAAAAGAATCAGATGATAGGGTCCTAATCATAATGGAATTTCTAACCCAACAGAAAGAAGGAAGCACATGTAAGGACAAGAGAATAATTATCAGGAATTTGTAAGGAAAACCAAAATAGTTTATAAATTGAGGATTTAAGTGATGAAGGTATTTGGAATTAGCAAGAAATGTAACATTTGGGTAGCCTTATCCTAAGGCTTCCTTCTGGAAGGGTTAGGTTTTGATCTGGGTCTTGAAGAAGGCAGTGAGCACTGGGCAGGACATATCAGGATTCTCCAAAGACAGTGGGTATAGGGAACTTTAATCTGAGCAGCCTGATTGGAATGGACGGGCTGCTGTGGTAGTTACTTGGGGGGAGGATGGTGGGTTTTACAGTCAAGATGATGGAGTTAGAGGCTGCTCACTTTTCAGGCCATGTACAAACAACAAAGAGCAAAATCAAAGGGAAGAAAAATTGTTGCAAAGTTACATAAAGAAAAAAAATCAACCAATTTGGAAACAAAACTAGAACAAAGGAATATTCTGATGTAATTCTTATGGAATAAATGAAGCCCTGGAAGTACCAGAAATATGCAAGAAGGTAAAAGATATGTTGGTGGACATTATGAAATGGATCAATGACCCACTTAAAGGAGTGAAGTATAATTTGAGGTCACCACTTATGGTTTTCTTACCAGACCAACCAGACAACACATTAATTCAAATTGAAACACATTTAATTCAGCAATATAGCAACATAAACGACAAGGAAAATTCTATTTTCCTCAGAGTATGCCTGTAGGATATATTCTCCCACAGATTCCTACCCATTTGGAGGATGAGGGAATGTTGGAGAGGGCAAATATGTAGACCACAGCAAGAGATTTTTAGAACAATTACGTGGTCTCTTTTAATGCTCTCTATTTCATCTATGAGAATATGAATAATGCCATATGCTTTTTCCCCCCTGATGACCCACAATGGCAGTAGACCTTAGCTGGCTTGAACTTGAATTATGTCCTCTAGTGCTTGCCCACTTTCCCCATGTTTTTACTTTTCTCATCTTTAGTCCGCTAGGTATTTCTTATATATTCAATTTCTGACCTCAGTGGTGACTTTCCCTCAATACCAATATCTCATGGTCAAGGACAAACCATTTAGAGTCTCAATTTCCTCATCAGTAAAATGACAGTAGTAATACACTACCTATATCACAGTATTTTGATGAAAATGAAATGGGAAAATATACATGGATCTCTTTTGTATAAATTGTTATATACATGTATATATATGAGATATATATATATATATATATATATATATATATATATAAAATATATATATACACACATATACATGTAAGTTGATAATTTTTCATTCCTCATTTGTTAAACCAATAACTATTTCTTATCTCACTAAACTCACATACACTAACAGGATTTATTTAGCATAGTAAATCAGGAGAAAAATATAATGTTATATTTATTTATACAGTGCTCATTTATTTGTTCTTTAGCCAGTTCAGTTGTCTCAGACTCTTCATGATGCTATTTGAGGTTTTCTTGGCTAAGATACTGGAGTGTTTTTCCATTTCCTTCTCCAGGTCATTTTACAGATGAGGAAACTGAGGCAAACAGGGTTAAGTGACTGGTCCAGGCTCACAGAGCAAGTAAGTGTCTGAGGCCAGATTTGAGTGCAGGAAAATGAGTCTTCCTCACTCTAGGTCCAGCACTCACTCCACTGTACTACCTAGCTGCTTGTATATATCCACAGATATTCTTGATATATGCTATATAGAATGATACAGTATAGTTGTGTCAAGCATGGATAGAAATGGATCCTGGTAGGCCTCATATTAATTTAGAAAATCCAGAAATTAACATTATCTATATTGTTTTATATCTTTATTTTGTTAAACATTTCCCAGTTACATCTGGTTTGTTCCACATACAGTTTTGTTGCTTGCCTGTGGCCTTAGGGCTGAGAGATTGACCCCCACCCTGTGATGTAGTATATAAAGAAGTGCCCTCAGAGCCAGGCAAAATGGAGTTCAAGTCCCATCTCTGACACAAATTGTCTATATGATGCTGGATAAATCACTTAGCCTTATAGTGACCTAAGACTAGGTAACTCTTGAGGCTTTAAGGGTTTTTTTTTTTTTATAGAAAGTGCAGATTTGCCTTGGTAGAGAGAATTTTTTACCTGGAAATTCTCTGTGCAAATGAAATTGCAGATCTAGTCTCTGTCTCTGTCTCTCTGCGTCTCTCTCTATGTCTTTCTTCTCTCTGTCTCTCTGCTATATGTAATATCCACAGTGGTCATACCGCCTTGATAATTGCCATCTTCTTGTTCCACTTTAAATTGTGTTGGTCAAACTTAATTTATATATAAGATCATAGATTTAGAACTGAAAGACATTTTGGAGGTCATTGAATCCAACCTCCTCATTTTTTTAGATGATGAACATGAAACATAAAAAGATTAAATCACTTGCCAAGGTCAAATCAGAGCTGTGGGATTAGGAGGTGGCAGCAGCTAGGTGTCACAGTGGATAGAGCATGGGCCTGGAAGTCAGTAGGGCTCGAGTTCAAATCCCATCTGATACATTTACTGACTGTGGGAACCTGGGCAAGTCACTTAACCTTGATTTCTGCCTTTCCTCCAAAAAAAAAATCACAACTTGGATTCTAACCAAGGTCTTCTGACTTCAGATTCATCATGCTTTCTGTTGTGCCCTGTTGCCTCACTTACTTTTCAACTAATCACACTGAATTATTCCTAGGAAAAGCAACAACTACAATCTGAATTTACCTTGGTCTGTATTGCAACTGACCTACTTACTGCTGGAACAGAGACAACAAGCACCACCTTGAGATATGGACTCCTGATTCTCCTGAAATACCCTGAGATAGCAGGTGGAATTAGAGGCTGATAATACACATAATTTAGTCAGCATGAGAGGGGTTGTATACTCTCTCCCACTGAGTCAAAGAATCTTAGAGTAAGATGGAACCTCAGGCTAACCTCATTCCTGAGAAGAGGTCACAGAACTTTAGAATTTGAAGGGGTTTCGGTAGTCATACTGTCCATCCCCAATCTGAAAAAGAATTCCATCTGCAGGATCCTCTCCTTGTCGACATCCAATCTTAGCTTGAAGACTTTCAGTGAGGGGAAATCACTCAATAGAATGCTGTGGCATTCCATTCTAATCTTACAGTCTTAATTTGAGGAGATTTTTTTTCTTGCATTAAGCCTACATTTGCAATTTTGTAACTTTAACCTATTGCTCTTGGTTTTGTCCTCTGGAATAAAATAGGACAAAATTGCTCTCTCTTTCTAGTAACAGGCCATAAAACACTTGAAATCTGCTATTATGTCTCCTGTTCTATTATGTCCTCTGTTCTCTTGTCTAAATATCCCCATTTCCTTCAACCTATCCTCACATGGCATGGACTTGTTATTCTTACCATCCTGGTTGGCCTGCCTTCAGTAGCCTCCAGCTCTTCAATGTCCTCCTAAAATATGACTCCTAGAAGGAATACAATCCTTATTTGTGAGCTGAGGAGCTGCCTTTGAACCTTCAATAATTACCCTTTGTATATGGGCAGTCAATCCATTTTAAATCCACCTAATTGTATGACAGGGTAACCTGCTATTTCCATCATTTTCAGAGGAAGAACATGAACATCTTTATCAAAAGTTTTGCGAAAGTCTAAGGAAACACCATCTGAAGCATTCTCCTGATCTACCAGTTCATCAACACCCACAAAAAAGAGAAATAATCATAATCATAAATAATCATACTTCCTTATCTAGAGTCATTTCCTTATTCCTTTCTTATCTAGATTAATGATCTCTTTAGAAATACACTCCTGGGTCTGAGTGAAAATTGAAGTGTACTTTCACTTTATTTTTCTTGCTCAGGTGTCTAGGTGCTTTCTTATTTTCTCCTTACTTCTCTGTGGTATTCAGTCTCTATTAGCTATATTTATTTATCCTATCCATTTCATTTAAAAGTTCATTCCATTGGACAGAACAAAAAAAAGAAGGAAAAGAAAAATTGAGAATTTCTGTATCTTTTCTTGTCCCTTGTCATCCTCATCCTTTAACTCTCTGAGTTGTGGGGTCATCTTTTCTTTAATCCTCCCCTTTTCCACAATATAGTTTTTAAAAATCTCTTCTTGTTGCCCTTTGTTTGCCTTACCAGCTTCTGTTCATTCTGGGCTTTACCACTTCTGTCATTCTTATGGACCTGTGACATACTTCTTTTACTCATCCTTGTCTTTGAAAAATCCAAGTTGAATTTTCAACAATAATAATAATAATAAATAGCTATTGTTTATAAAGTACTTTGAAGTTTGCTTTACATAGATTATCTCATTTAATTTTTATAACTCTGTAGGAGTAGATGACATTATTATCTCCATTTTACAGGTGAAGAAACTAAATCTTAGAGACACCACCTGGCTTTCCTGGGATTATGCAGCTAGTAAGTGTCCAAGTCAGGATTTCTACTAAGGTCTTCCTGACTTCAGATCTTGTAACCTCTCCATTACTCCACCACCTTATCCACATTGGTATCTTTAGAGAATGTTCTTTTTCCTTCCATCATCAGAATTGTATTTCTGTGTGCTTTCAGTAACTAACTCTTGTCGTTCTTGGTGATAATAATAATAGTCGGCATTAAGGTTTGTGAAGCATTTTACAAGTATTGTTTGTCTTTATCTTCATAACAACCCTGAAATGTAGGCAGTGTTATTACTCTTATTTTACACATGAGGAAACTGAGTCTGAGACAAGGTAAATGATTTGGCCAGTGTCATATATCTAGGGAGTATTTGATGTCAATCAGGTCTTTCTGACTCCAAGGCCTGTACTCTATCCATTGGGCCACTTAATTGCCTCTATTATAAACTTTAAGATGGACTGGTCACTTTCCACAAAATTCCCATCATTATAACCCATAGGTGTGTACAGAAAGTGTGCCAATGTGATAGCATACTTGCAAAATGTTGTGCCACAGGGTTTCTGCAGATCTATATTCACATCTATTTTATCCAAGTTCCTCTCAGATGTGAGAACTGGATCAATGAAAGAATTGCCCTCTTTTCAGTTCTGCTACATTTGCAAGATAAAAATTATCTTTAAGAAAAGTCAGGGAATTATGAACTGCTCTGTTTTGATGGAAGGGAAACTCAAGCATCCAAATGAATAATTGGAGTCTTCCATAACTGCTACATCATGTCTCACCACCAGGCTTTATAATCTGTCTCCTGTATTCCTTGTCTATTTCTTCTTTCTGTACAAGTAGTCTGTGGAATACACTCATGGCAATGTCACTCTTGGTGTTGCCTCCAATTCTCTGTATCTAGATGCTTTTCATCACTCTTTTTTCTGCTTCCTAAATAGCCTCACATAAGTATATCTTCTTAATATATACTACTCCACCCTCTTTTTCCTATTCTAATTTTTTTTAATAAGATACACTCTTTCCAGAGCTTCATTCTGGTAAAGGGTTTCATCCTACCAACTCCTAGTTATAACTTTGAGGTAAAATTTGCTTCCTTGTGTTAAAATCTCTAGTCCAACTTGTTTTTGTTTTTGTTTTTTTTAGCCACATGATAAGCATTGAAAAACCCTTTTGACTGTATTTGCCAGAAATCAAAAGAATAATCTTTCTAGCCTTTGTTAGATGTATCATTCCATTCCTGCATAGGAGTCCATCATTTCTATATTTTTATTAAGATGTGGTACAGAAATCAAAATCCCATTGTGAAACACCCTTTTACAAGATGTCCACTTCTGAAATCTGCCTTTCCTTTCTGAATCTTTTGCTTCCAATTACAGCCATAATGAACACACACCACCTGTAGTCATTACTCCTAAGGTCTTCAGGTTTTTGTTGTTGTCTTAAATGTCATAACCTTTGGAAATTCTTCCCAGTTCCTTGTGGGAGTGTTATTTTTGTCCATGCAAATCACCAGAGGTGGGTAATAATCATCCCCTTTTTCAAATCATGGGTGGTTCTTCGATATATGTTTGATATGTGCTCTGAGAATGTCTGATCTATTTTTTTTGTCATTGTCAGCAAATAACTGCTTCAGTATCCTTCCACAGGGAGTCACCAACCAGTACTCTTCTCTTCTTCCTGGATATCTTACCAGATAATACCTGTGAACTTTACCATTCTTTAGACTACAAGCGCATGCTTCTTCCCCAGAACATCCTAATTTCTTCATCTTCAAGAAGAGCTACCAATCTCTTGCCTTATTCTTCTATGTGACATATTTTTATTCTTCAAAATCTTGACACAAGTCTGAATTCATTTCTACCTCTCCAGATCATTTGGCATCTGCTTCAACTTATTCACAATTGGTGCGCTTATTGTCCACCCATGCGGCTCTTCCTTCCTTTGATGGATCTAATGGTCAAAAGTTATTTTATTAACTTTTATCAACATGAGATCTGCCTCCTTGTGTCTTTTACTGATCAGTACTGCTTCTGTCCCATAAGATGTCAAAATTCAGTTTCATTTTTCATAGAGTTTCTAATTTACTATCAGTATAGGCATTTAAAAAATATTGGCTCTTTCCATACTTAAAAATGATGAGTTTTGACTACATGATAGTTCTAAGTTTTCTTTCAGCTCTAACGTTCTTTGGTTCTTACTTTCTAATTTTTCTTCTTTTGTATCGGCTCATTTCAAGGAACCACCATAATACCAAAGTTATCTTCTGCTTTGTATGAAGATGAAGAGTTTCCCAATCTGTACGAGTTTGACCCAGGTCACTTCTTGGATGAAAGTGGCAACTTCAAGAAGAGCCACTATTTCATGCCTTTTTCAGCAGGTAAGACATTCATCTAAATAAGTGCATCAAAGATGGATTGACAATTCAGAGGACCTGTGTTTCAGTACAGCTTTGCTACTTCTTACCTATGTGACATTGGTCAAATTATTTCATTTCTCTGGGCTTCAGTTGCTTTATATGTGAAAAGATTGTGTTGGACTAGGTGACCTTATATGGTCCTTCCAAGTTAAAAAACCAGAGAGTAGGGTGGAGGCATAGTACATCATTCTTCTAATCTCCTTGGGCCATGGTTCATCAACTAAACTAAATCAATTGGGTTTCAGGTTTCTTGTCTGAGCTTATTCCAAAAAAGAGGAAAGAACTGAGATAATGACCACTCTTTTCTGCATCCAGACCCACAACCAAAGTCCCTTTGATATTAAAAACTATCCTCCCTGGCCCTCAACCAGGATCTACTTCTCAAATAAAGTCTTCTAGGCTTTTACATTAACATGGTACAATCTTGTATCTTATCAAGCCAAGAAAGGGGATTGGGTTATCTTAAAGGCCCATTACTCAGGTACCATTACGGCTAAGGCAACCAAAGGTCTTATCTTAGAGTTTGCCATTTTGTAGAAATGTGAGTGCTGACTAGGTGACACATAAGTATGGAACCTCTTTTCCCAGTTACATAGATATTAATGGGGATCTATTGGGTACAGAATTATAGCTGATACTCTGTCTTGTCCTTTTATCTTCAATTTTTAGGATAACCTATTGGTTATCTGATAATAGTAGTGATAAGCCAAGTCTAGGTCTGGCAGACATGAATTTTGCAATATCCCTGACATTGTGGTCTCCAATGCCATGGTCAATTTGTTCTAATAGTTGGGCTATAGCTAGGAGAGAATGGTGTGGGTTTTTTTGGTAAGTGGTTGGTCATGAAGTTTCAGGGTATACTCCAGAGGGGTTTTCTGTTCAAAATGGTGACAAGAGGTTCCCAAAGGGAACTTTGATCATTCTTCTGTCACCTTGAACCATTGTAGTTACTCTGGGTAGCCATACACTTAGTTTTTGAGATTATAAATGAGTGATTATTTTCTCCCTAAGACAATGACTACTTTCCTCTAAATATAAGTTGCAGGTTTGCTCGGGCTTAGTAGGGGATTGATTTTAGAGAGAGGATACTGGATCAGTCCTCCTACTCTATTCAAGAGGAACTGGCTCTTCAAAGGAGTCAAGGACCAGAGAGGAAAGGAATGCATGAAGTTTTTCACCTAAAGCCACTGAGTGTTAGTGGCCTCTCTCTAAGTCTAAAGAAGTGGTCTAGATGATTTAGAAGTCTACAAATATCAAATCCTTATGTTTGTCTCTTTCAGGAAAATGGATATGTGCTGGGGAAAGCATGGCTCAGATGGAATTATTTCTGTTTTTTGCTACCATCTTACAGAATTTTACCTTGAAATCTCCCATTGACCCCAAAGATATTGACACCTACCCAGTTGTCAATGGATTGATCCAACTACCCCTCCTAGGAGCTTTGCTTTCTATCTTCCTAAAACATGTGAAGGATCATCTTTGGTTTCAACTTCTCTAGAGTCTCTTCATATGCAATGAACAAGCTGTATTCATTTCATGGCAATCAAACCCCTCTATGATTTCAGCCCAACATACCCTTCTAGCTTAATCTAATACACCCTTTGACTTTTGCAAAAAATCATGATTTAATTTTCACCAACATTCCCCAGAAATTCCATATTCCTGGAATATTTCTTCTGTTCTCTTCAACTCTAAGAAATTAAAATCCTATCCACCTTTCACATTGCAAGTTAGATGTCATATCCCTGTGACCTATTTAGTACTTATAGTTTGCATTACACAATTATTATAACTACCACCACCACTACTACTACTACTACTAGTATCACAACTACTACATATTTCACCTGCCTACTATAATTGCATTAAAAAAATACAGGACACATTTGAATAGTTCAGTTTGACTGAAGCATAGAGCACTTAGAGGATATTAATATAAGATAAGCCTGGAAAGGAAGAGAAGACTTGCATCTTTGTTTACTCAGTAAACAAAAAGTAAGCTCTACATTGACCTGATCTATGCAAAAGGGACGTTAGTTTGACAGAATGTGAGGAATGTATTTTATGGGGGGATGGCTTTCACAGCAATACATAGTCAAGGAGGCCAGGTTGTTTCAGGATCTGGAAAAAAGAATCATTTGACACACACATTACAAAGATTGATTTAATGAAGGCAGTAGACAGGATCCTACAGGTACTCAATTCCAATTAATTATACATCTGCCTGAGAATTTTCAACTGGGGTATATAGAATTGTTCAGCTGGCAAATTCAATTTCTTCTGAGCCAAGGGCCAGGCTCCAGGTTGCCTACCCACTCTTTGTTGCCCATCCCTCTTGTAGACTTCAAAAGAAAAAGTGTCTCTAACTGCAATGTCAACTAGTCCATATCACTAGTTGTAGTGGTAATATCCCCAGGTGTTTATCCCCCAGTGATAAAAGTATTTTTGAAAGGCTTATCATTACATGTACACTAATCTAGCTTGTTATTAACAATAGTATCCTCATCTTTAATACAGAACAGTATCAGGGCAGCTTGGTGGCACAATGGAGCACCAGCCCTGAAGTCGGGGGACTTGAGTTCAAAATCAGCCTCAGACCAAACACTTGACACTTACTAGCTGTGTGATTCTGGGCAAGTCACTTCACCCCAATTGCCTAAAAATAAAAAAAAAAAATACAGAAAGGTATCTGTTAACATATCAAGTAAAGAACACAACCAGTGGTCTCTCCTTTGTATACAGATGAAAACAGTAACAATTACTCTTCCAATTTTTTCTGGAGTTAAGTCTTTTATTCATAGAAACCTTGTATAGTGACATTCTGACACTTTTAAACCTACTATAGAGCAAGATGCCAAAATTCCTCACTCTACAAAATGCTGCTGAGAAGGGATTCTTTCATTTACCATCATGACATACTTCCAAAATACACACAAATAGTCCAGTTTTCTTTTTGTCCAAGAGTGTGGGGACTTAAGATTGGCTATATGCATAAATATTTGCAACTACTTAAAAGATACAAAAAGCAAGCAATCAATAAAATTACTGTCTGCTGTCTCTGAAAAATGGGAAGAGTTCTTCTAACTTCAGCCATATTGCCAATCTTAGTTTACTCTTATCTTATTTGAGGAAAGGATGAAGATTTGAAGGGATAACCAATCTCCTAGCTTCTCCAAGAACCTACTATATTAAGAAAAGCTTAATAAATAATTTTTCATTCATTCATTCCTTTGTTCATTCCTCATTCATTAAGGTATTCAAAATCAAAGACCCACCCTCTTTTCCTTTTGGGAAATTCCAGGTTTCATTTCTGTAGTGTTTATGGTCAGAAACACTGCAAAAAGAAAAAAAAAGCAACTTTTAAGGGACCTTAGGATCAATATTCTTCAACTTGCACTATTTCATTATCATTTAGCATTAGAAAACTTCCTCTAGTCTCAGCAACATTTGAAAAACATGAGCCACCACATAATGATGGTATGAAATTAATAGCTCTTATTGCCCCAAGATTAAATGAGTATGTCACCCTAGAAAACAATTGAGTAGATGAAATAGAAAACTTAGGGTCAGGAATAAATCAATCAGCCAAACAAATATTAATTAAGCACTTCACAGAATCACAGAATTTGAATTCAATGCCTGTCTTGTCTAACCTACACTATAATACACCAAACAATTGGTCATCCAGATTCTTATATCCAAGCACTGTGCTAGGTGCTACTGGTAAAAAATCAAAATGTAAACAATGCCTATCCTCAAGGGTCTTATATTCTATTGGGGAGACAACCTGCCCATCCAGAAGTTCAGTGTATATTTTATGAGTACAGGACAACATGAACTTATATAAATACAAGATGCCAAAGTGGTGCAATGGGAAGAGTAAAAAAGAGAATCTGGGTTCAGATCTCAATTCTGCCACCTGTCTATGGGAACTCGGTCAAGTCACAACCTCTCTGGACCTCAGTTTCCTTATTTGTAAAATGAGAATAGATGCTCCAACTGAAGTGTCTTCTGGTTCTAACTTTATGATCTTCTAAGGATGTAGAAAATAAATGCAAGGTCAATTTCCGGAGTGTCACCAGTTTTGGGGATCAGTAAAGGAAACAATTACATAATGGCCAGGCTTCTAGTACTCTAAGTGACCATTTTTGATGTGTCTGCTAGATTTATCTTTTGGTGTTCTCAGGAAAACAGAATTTTGAGCTGGAAGGGACTTTATAAACCATCTGATCCAATCTTTACATTTTATAAATGAGAAAGAAGTGAAGTCCAGAAAAGTGATGTGACTTTTCCCAGACCACATAATTTGCTAATTTCAGAATTCTGGTGTCCTGAGTCCAATTTGCTTCTTTCCCCACTATATCCTTTCTCCTTACTTTATTTGGCTAAATATGCACATCCCATGTTTCTTAATGATGTAGTAAAATAGGTGGGAAATTCATTTGCATCACTTTTTATATCGATGTATCTTTTCTTCCTTAATGTGATGCTTGTCATCATTTTTCTATCTTTGGGTTGGCAGACATCGTGAATGATGTTTGGGCATGCACCTACTAGATGTCCAGAAAGACTTTGGTTATTATAGCTTTATGTTTGTTATAGAGCAGTGGGCTGGGAATCATGAAGACTCATCTTCCTGAGTTTAAATTTGGCCTTGGACACTTACTAGCTCTCTGACCCTGGGCAGGCCTCTTCACCCTGTTTGCCTTAGTTCCTCAACTGTAAAATGAGCTGGAAAAGGAAATGGCAAACCACTCCAATTTCTTTGCCAAGAAAACCTCAAATGGGGTCAGAAAAAGTCATATCTCAACAACAACAAAAGATTTCCTTAGGTGGAGTAAAGTGAGTGTGTTTTTAAATCCAGTGTGTTAATTTAATACCATTATCTTAAATTGGTTAAATATTTCCCACTCTATAGCCTCTCATATGGGCTCCAATAGCTGTTTAAATACCATTACTTCATAAGGAAGTTATGAAGATAGGAGGTGTCAATTCTAGTTTGGAAGCTAGTAGGTGATTTGTGCTAACACTGTCTTCTTTCTCTGCATCTTGCTTTCTTCCTTGTCAGTGAGATGATTTTCTTGTCTGTTTTGCCCAGACTGTACACCATGAGAGGCCACAAGTTAATCATAAAGGATTGAATCTGTTGTATTGGTTCAAATGTGGGGTGGGGTAAGGAGTTCAGGAATCTAGAAATGGGATCTCATTCAGAGGAGAGGAATAGAAGCTGTAAAGAGAGAATTGAATTTCATATCTAAGCAAGCAGTAAGCCAACTGAGGTTCCCAGACATCATCAGTCCAGGAAGGCTCACTGAACTAGTTCTGCACCAGGAACCAGGTGAGGTGATCTATTCATATGCATAGTGTATCCTTCAATTTACTTCACTGAGAATGGTCCATAGTGGTCACCTAATTCTAGGTGCGATAGTGGAAAGTCATGAGGTTTGAAATTAAGGGAACCTGAGTTCAAGTAATGGATCTGCCATATATTAACTGTGTGACCTTAGGCAAATTGCTGAACTTCTCTGGGGCTCAGTTAAAATAAGGTGGTTCCAATTGATCATTATGTATGATTCTTGCCAGGTCTAAATCTAAAATACCTTATATTTCTATGTCTAATGATAGCACATTTCTATAGTAACAAAGTACTTTCCTTAGGACAGACCTGTAAAGTAGCTTGTGCAAATATTGTTCTCCCTACTTTAAAGATGAGGAAAGTGAGGTCCAGAAGGGAACAGTGACTAATAGCACTAGAACTTAAACCCATGTCTTATGACCAAGTTTGAAACTTTCAGGGCTCCTCAGTGAGTCCTCCTTCATCAAGTTCTACCTGTCTTATATCCACATACACTCCTCTTTCCCTCTTCTTCCTTCTTCCAAATTCAGATGAGGCCCTGAATCATTTAAGCCAGGCAAAAGTGTTGCTCTTTCCCAGAAGTACTGAAAAATGACTGCCCCTTTGTGTTGAGAAAACAGGAAAACATCTTTATCCAAAATCATTTTGTAGAAGTTGTTTCTACTCTTTCTATTGTGTTCTCCTAGTCCATGATCAGCTCCTTGATGGCACCAGGGAAGGGGCTTTAGAAACCAATCAACTGGCCCATTCCCCTCATTTTATAGATGGTGTTTGGGGAAACAGAAGTTTAGTGAGGTGACATGACTTTGGCAAAGGGTTCAGAGCTCTCTCTGCATCAGTTCTTACAAGATTTCCCAGGTTGTGGTGAAATAATCACTTTCATCATTTCTTAAGATAGAATAGCATTCTGTTACATTCATACACTGTAATTTATTCAGCTATTCTCCAGTTGGTAGGTATCCCTTTAATTTCCTATTCTTTTCTAACACAAAAGGAGGTGCTATAAATACTTTCGTTCATATGCTTCTTTCTCCTTATTCTTTGATGTTTTGGGGGGTATAGGTCTAGTAGTATATAGTTGTGTCAAAGGCTATGCACAGTTTATCTTTTAGGGCACAATTCCAAATTGATAGAGCCCTGAG